GATATAAATCTTTTAGTCACATTCATTCATTCATTCATTCACTCACTGATTTGGCAAGTATTTAGGAAGGGCCTGCTGTGTGCCAGGCACTGTGCCGAGTCTCCGAGATGTGTGCGCTCAGCCGTGCCTGAGTCTGACTTCCTTGGCGCGTGGAAATCTGCCTGAGCAGACACTCCCTGTGAGGCTCGTTCAGGTGCAGCCATCGCCCAGAGCAGGCCCGGCGGGGCCCGCAGGGGGGAGCGTGCTGGCGGAGCTTGTGCAGGGTTTGCTTTTGTTACTGAACGGTGGCTGGTGTGCGGCCGTAGTCTACAGGTATGTGTGCGCGTGTGTGTGTCTGTGTGCGTGGTGATTAACTCATTAAACGTACCCTGGAGTATGTTACCAGCTAGTGGGAAGATTAGCTGCTACTACATTCAGTGGAATATGGAGCCTGGAGTGTGAGGACTGCCCGGGAGCTCTGGGGACCCACAATTCCATTGATACAAGTGTGATGTAGAGGTGACCTAGGGGGTGTTGTGCTTGGAATGTCACACAGAGACCTTACGGACATGAGCACAGCCTTGGTTGGTGTGGCTCAGTGGACAGAGTGTCGGCCTGCAGACTGAAGGATACCGGGTTCAATTCTGGTCAAGGGCACGTGCCCAGGTTATAGGCTCAATCCCTAGTAGGGGGTGTGCAGGAGGCAGCCAATCATTGAGTCCCTCTCATTATTGATGTTTCTATCTCTCCATCTCCATTCCTCTCTGAAATCAGTAAAAAAGAAATAATAATAATAAATATATATAAAATTATATATATATTTAAAAATAATATATATTATTTTAAATAATAATATATATAATATATATATGTATTTTTTTTTTTTTAAGAAAATGAGCACAGCAGAACATCCTTGAACTAACAAGGTATTTCATCGTCACTTAAGACAACTGATTCATGTTTCTATTCGACATTCTACCTCCTCCCATGTGTGGTGAAGCTGACATACATTCATGTGTTTGTTAAATAGGTAATTTTATGCTCCCATCATGGGCCATAAAGTGGTCGCGTTCGACATCTCCGCCATCAGGGGCCTGTGGGAGACGCGTGTCAAGAAGCACAGAGCATGGCAGAAGCAGGAGGCCGAGCGTCTGGAGAGGAGCGCCCTGGAGAAGTAGGTTTCTGTGCCGGGGAGCCGCTTCGGAGCGGCCACAGACGGGGCTGTGCCTGGAGGGGCGGGGCGTCTCTCCTGGGCCCTCTCTCTGTCGGTGACCCCGCTTTCTGACCTTCGGATCCTCACGCTGTGGCCCAGCACGGGCATTCGGTTTCTGTAAAGCAGCACCCACAACTGTAGGGACTTGGGTACCCTGGGCACCGTGCGAGGCGGCCCAGGGCAGGCAGCGATGAGGCGGTCCGGTCCTCTGCAGCCGGTGCTGGGCCAGGGGCCGCCGGAACCCCATCCTGGGTGAGCCAGGTGCCGGCGCTCTGTCAGCACGGCAGCCTCCCAGGAGCTGGGCGCCGGGCCGGCGCCTTGTGTGGTGCCAGTTTTATGCTATTGTAGAGGTGAGTTTGTAGGCTGACTGCTCTCAGGTAAACACGTGCCAACGAAGATGAAACCGAGTGTCGTGGGAAAACTGTTTGTGGCAGATAGGAATCACACCGACAATCAAATTAACACTCCCCCAGACTGCGAACGTGAGGCAGCTGGGAAGGCTGCCCCCCAGGTGCTGTGCATTCTGTAACGGGCATCCCCTGTGGAGAGATCCAGCGGGCATTCCTGTGGATGCGTATGGGCGCGTGCTGGTTCTGAGGGGCAGGATGGGGTCTGAGGGGCAGATGGGTCTGAGGGGCAGATGGGGTCTGCGGGGCAGGATGGGGTTCAGGTGGGCAGATGGGGTTCTGAGGGGCAGGATGGGGTCTGCGTGGCAGGATGGGGTCTGAGGGGGCAGATGGGTCTGAGGGGCAGATGAGGTTCTGAGGGGCAGGATGGGGTCTGAGGGGCAGGATGGGGTCTGAGGGGCAGGATGGAGTCTGAGGGGCAGATGGGTCTGAGGGGCAGATGGGGTCTGAGGGGCAGGATGGGGTCTGAGGGGCAGATGGGTCTGAGGGGCAGATGGGGTCTGAGGGGCAGGATGGGGTCTGATGGGCAGGGGAGGGCACTGCCCAGTGACGGCGCCTCCGCCTGCTTTAGGATAAAGGAGGAGTGGAACCTCGTGGCCGAGTGCCGCCGGAGGGGCGTCCCCCAGGCCGCCTACTGCAGGAACGGCTTCTTGGACACCAGTGAGCGGCTGCTGGACAAGCTCGAGAGGAAGTTGCTCCTGCGGCAGAGCTCGCCTTCCGGGGGCAGGGATGGAGGCAGCAGCAAGTTCGTGTTCGAGCTCTCGGGAGAGCACTGGACGGTGAGTCGAGCTGTTCCTGCCTGAGCAGCCAGTGGCGGCTTAGCGCAGTGCTGAGGCCCCGACGGCCGCCGCTAAGTTGAGCTCCAGGCCTTGACCTTGGCCAGTGAGTGTTCTTGCTTGAGAGGATCTGCTCTGGCCCTGGCTGGTGTGGCTCAGTGGGTGGAGTGTCGGCCTGAGAACGGAAGGGTCTCTGGTTCTATTCCAGTCAAGGGCACACGCCTGGGTGGCGGGCTCGATCCCCAGTGTGGGGCATGCAGGAGGCAGCCTGTCAATGATTCTCTCTCATTGATGTTTCTCTCTCCCTCTCCCTTCCTCTCTGAAATTAATAAAAATATATATTTTTAAAAAGAAACCGAGAGGGTCATCTCGGAGCCAGGTTCTCGAGGCTCCTCCTCCACCCAGGCGCAGGGAGGTGGCTCCCGTGGAGTCCGCGGAGCCTGGTCGCGAGTCCTGTCTTCTGTCCGTCTTTCCCTCCTGCACACTCTTACAAACACTCAGTGCATGTTTATAAGTTATTTGAAAAGCAAGTAGAGAGCAAGGGAATGCAGGCCACATCGAACCTTCGGGTACATGGACAGGCTGTATTTTACATGTTACGTGCACGTGTAAACCAGAAGGCACGCTGTGGCTGTGGCTGCGAGCCTGCTTGTCAAGACATCTGACTTGAATAATAAATATCACCAACTCACGACAGCTCTGAGTTGGGCTCATCCCTTAAGGCGCGATGAGTGACCACACAGTGTGTCTTCTTTCTCCCTGAAACGCCGGGAGCTGTAGTCACCGCTGTCGCTCTCTCGCACGTGTCCTCTCATGTCCAGCTTTTACAATGAGCACGCGTGTTCCTGGGCTTGGTGTGCGCTTGGCCATGTTGAGGACCTGGCGCCAACCACTCACCCACCTGTTCCAGGAGCTCCCCGACTCCCTGAAGGAGCAGACACACCTGAAAGAGTGGCACATCAGCCACACCCGGATCGAAACCATTCCTGCCTACATCAAGCTCTTCCAAGCGATGAGGATTTTGGATCTGCCAAAAAACCAGCTCTCCCATCTTCCTGCTGAAATTGGTATGTCTCTTGGCAGAGCCAGGCCTCCGCGAGCAGGCAGCCGGCGGACGGGCACCGCGCCCGTGGCAACTCTCCCCCTCCCCCCCAGGAAGCTGCCAGGCGGGCTTGCTGGTGTCCCCAGCGCTGCTCGGTCACTGTCTACTTTGGGCAGTGACGCCACGGTCTCGCCGGCACACACAGACCTTGGCCAGGTGCTCAGAATCCAGAAGTCTCATGAGTGAGCAGTGCTGTGTTTAGGGATTTTTCATTTTCTTTCGGTCATTCCCTGCCTTTTATCTGGTGACAGGCTGTTTGAAGAACCTTAAAGAACTCAACGTGAGTTTCAACCACCTGAAGAGCATTCCTCCAGAACTGGGAGAGTGTGAAAATCTGAAGAAACTGGATTGCTCTGGAAATCTAGAATTAACTGAGCTCCCATTTGAAGTAAGGAAGTAACTGTTTCTGCACTATGACTTATTTTTATTTGGCGTATGATATGGGAGGGTCTGTAATATGTGGAAGAAGCTTTGAAAAATGAAACCCATCTATATTATGTCACATTTTCCTGACATTTCATTCACCTTCTACTGGCTATTATAAGGTCTTTACAATAGGCCAGGACCTGGTTTTTAGTTCAGAAATGCCATCAAAGGAAAACTAGGCAAAAAAAAAAAAAAAATCCTGTTTTTATGCAAGATATTTGTATTTAATGCCTATTTAATATATGATGCCTATTTTCTGTGATACAGACCTGATTTATTTATCCACAATGGTGAAATACATTAAAAACAGCTGGAAATAAATAAACAAAGGAGGTATAATTTTAAAATTTCATATAACGAACACAGCTTGTAGGTAACTCAAGTAGTCCTACAGATAGCATTTAAGACGTCTGTGAATTGAAAAGTATTTATTAGTTTCCTTTGGTCTGTATTGACTGGATAAATGATTTCATATCATTTCCGGATACAATGGAGCAGATGAAAATGAATGGGTTTAATTGCCAAATAAAATTCAGCAGGCCTCTTGTGTGGCAGAGATCAGGGTCTGATAGTCCTGCAGGCGATTAGCAGACTAAACACGGAATTGCTGGCAAGGTCCAGACAAGGCCTGGCTGCCGGTCACAGACCCGGGAGGGGTGTCAATCTCCTTTCCTGAAAGCTTCTTTGTGGGAGGAGCTGGCTGCCTCTGTCCTCACCCATCTCGCCCAGCCAGTGCCTGACAGTGGTGCAGGGGAGGGAACGCGGCCGAGGCCATGCTCCCTGCACGGCGGCCGAGGCCATGCTCCCCAGTTTGGAAAAGGGCTCAGCCCGCTCGCACACGTTCAGGTTACCGGAAGCCAAGTCACCTCTGACCTTCCTTGCTTCCATGCCATCAGTCAGTCCTCTCAGGCAGGCCCTGAGCACCTGACCACTGTCCAGCCCCCTCCCTCAACACCCTCGTCCAAGTCCAGGTTGTCTGTCATCTGGACTGGGACACGGCCTCCCCGGCTGGTCTCTCTGTTCCTTGTTCTCACGCCCTGTTTATGGAGGTGTCATTTACGTACAGAAAATCCAGTCATCGTAAGCAAACATTTCACACACTTACCTCGCAGGGGAGATGCGTGGCCACGACGGGTTTCCCCAGGCGAGGCTTATCCACTGCACTCTGATGTGCTCACCCTGGGATTCCCTCAAACGTGGGAAACTCGACGGCATGTTTTGTGGTGTGGAGGCCTGTGTTTGCACTTTACCCTGAAGATATATAGATAATAAACAAATAGATACACATGTTATCCACTCAGGGTTAAGATATTCCGGTCACCCCCTGAGAATTCCGGTTTGCCCATTTACGACATAAAATGGCATTGCTTATCTAGGAAATCACCAGCTCCGCACAGCAGCCACTGTGAGCCACCTGTCCGCACCGGCGTGGCGCCCCGTGGCCACACACGCTGTTCGCCCTCTTTCGCATATGGCACAGGAGTGCCTCTGGGAAGGGACCCCAGTTGGAAAGTTATTAGTGGAACTTAACTCTCTCTCTTACAGAAGTAATTAGAATATCTTGTTGTTCCTTTCTAGTTAAGTAATTTGAAGCAAGTTACGTTTGTAGATATCTCAGCAAACAAGTTTTCCAGTGTCCCCATCTGTGTCCTGAGGATGTCCAATTTGCAGTGGTTGGATATCAGCAACAATAGCCTGAGTGACCTGCCACAAGATATAGACAGGTAGCTACTTGCCTTCTGAAGGTGAGGTGTATGAACTAGTTACTAACACCTTAAACGCCATAACTTTCTAAACTTGCTTAGCACACGAGTGGTCTTTGACATCAATTAATTCTCCAGAATTCATTGTTTCTAGGAAATGAGTTTGGCTCTTTATATAATAAGACAGTTTCTAGTCTACATCATACATGTACATGTATATATACAGGGATGGGCAAAAGCAGGTTTACAGTTGTGAGTATACAAAACACAATTACTTCATTTTCGTATTGTTTTTAATATGAGCACATGTAAACCTACTTTTGCCCACCTGTATATGTTCACTTGAATGGATCTTCCTTGTTTTGGTGAACTGTAATTTAATTCGGTTCCCAATAGAATGGCATCATTCACTTTTCTTTACTCCACAGAAGTAGAAAAGTAAAATTATTACATATGGAATGGAAATATATCACTCTATGTTTAGGATATCAGTGAGGGTAATTTTTATTAGTTTCACGTATTGATTTATTAAACAATCTTTCAAACTTAATTGGGATGCTTATTAAGGTTTTCAAATTATATCTTTGTAGCTATTTCATTCATAAAAATAATAGTTTCACTGAATCCTATGTCATTCATTCATTCATTCATTCATTCTGCCAATGTTATTCGTTGTCTATAGAGCAGTTGGGCTTAAATTTGAGAATGAAACAAAACCTCTGGCCTTCTGAAATCTGCCGCCTTCTTTAGGACGTAGCATAAGACGCTGGAAGTGGCCTCGTCTGAAGGCCATCTCCGATTTCTGTTTTCTGCTCCTGCCACCTCTGCTGTGCAGCGATGCTTCCTCGGGCTGTGAGAGTCCAGGGGAACTGCCTTGGTTTGAGCTATGAGGGGACTTTGTGAAATATTTATGGGGGTCTGTGAAGGTTATGCAAATGGAAGAAAGGACAAATGGAAGAGGGAGTCGCCAAGTTAGAATAAAACGGAAATCAGAGGAAAATGCATGAAGCATTGTCGGCTCATTTCCTTTCCTGCACAGATTTCTTCTTGTTGTAAAGTCAGAAAACACAATGAGAGAGGATTAACTACTCTCCAGATCTACAAAAGAAAACGTTGGCTAAAGTTTGTTTATTTTCATAGCCTCTTCCCCGTGCCCTGTTCACCCTTGGAATGAGGCAGACACTGGGAGGAATATACTTTTATTTTTTAAAAAGTTTTCCGATGACGGTTTGCATTCAGCCTCTGTATCAGTTCCGGGTGTACAGTAAAGCGGATAGACATCCACAGCGGAGGGCACGCTGATTTCTTAGGCCCCTACTGCCTATTGCGCAGTGTGCTTGTGCTGCCGCTGTGTCTGTCTTCAATCGGCCCTGAAGTCAGTAAAAACAACATAAACACAGATGGTGTCACCTGGCAGGGATTTGTTTAATTTCTAAAGTTAGTTTTTCTCATAAGGGTCACATATAAAAAGTAAAGTCACTGGTGATTTCCTCCAGGACTAATTGGTCGTTCACGCGCGTGTCCCTTGCTGGGAAGCACAGTCCTGGGGCTGACCCCTTCTCCGTCTCGTAGGCTCAAGGAGCTGCAGACGTTCCTCCTGTACAAGAACAAGCTGACCTACCTTCCCTATGCCCTGCTCAACCTGAAGAAGCTCACCTTGTTGGCCGTCAGTGGGGACCATTTGGTGGAGCTCCCGACGGCCCTTTGTGACGCGTCCACACCTTTAAAGTGAGTAGACCACGGCCAGCGGCGTGGCTCAGCGGTGGAGCATCAACCTATGAACCAGGAGGTCGAGGTTCGATTCCCAGTCAGGGCACGTACTGGGGTTGCAGGCTTGATCCCCAGTAGGGGGCGTGCAGGAGGCAGCTGACCAATGATTCTCTCATTGTTGATGTATCTGTCTCTCTCTCCCTTCCTCTCTGAAATCCATAAAGAAAATTATTTAAAAATAACTTTGACAGTGAGTAGATCAGAGATCCTCATGGAGACACGTTCAGTAGAGGCATGTTCAGACACAAGACCAGGAGCAAGGACCGTCTGGAGCTTTAGGTCCTGTCTCAGATCCCAGTTCCCGGGAGTTCTGGTGCTTCTTGACAGGGTTTGGAAGGTTCTGGACAGTAACAGGAGGATTTGGGACTCAGGGTCTCTGTACATGCTGTGTGCTTGTGGGAGACACAGGGGGTAGATGCCTGGGATTCCATTGTCTAGGCATCCAGGTTGTTAATCTTCCCATGACGAGGAGCAGTTCTTGGAAAAGGAGAACGGACTGCATCCCCGTCACTCCCACATCCCAGCTGTACAGCTCCCCGCTGATCAAAATGCGCCTTCTCTGACCAGAACAGAGCAGTCATGGTTAACAGAGCAAGATTAGTATTTCGGCCCCCCCCAAAAACAGTGACTGACCAACGAAGATTGCCTTTGGGTTCAGGGAGTAACAAAGGGGAGGGCAAGAGACTGCTGCTTTAAATAAAAAGTGCCATTTCCTTGTTCAAAATGTAACATGTGTGGTGACTTACTTAGATTAAAAAGTGGAGAATGATGAAATATAGGCAGATTGTTTTGGGGGTAGGGAAAGACAATAACAATTCAATGAAAGATTGCAAAGGGAAAATCGAGTGGATCTATATCCAGAATTAAAACCTTTTTGCTTTCTCTATATTTAGACATTAAATACAATTAAAGGAAAACAAACTGGAAAAAACATATATGCTAAAATAGGACAGGTATGTGTGAATAAGCCACATGTACATATCGCATGTAACCTTCTAAAGCCAATTAGGATGATTTTTGTTAGGTTTGATCTTCGCCTCCCCCCAAAATAAAACTGTGGGAAAAATACAAACATTTATGTATTTAATTCACTCATTAAATAATCTTTGTGTGTGTGTGTGTGTGTGTGTGTGTGTGTGTGTTAATCCTCACCTGAGGATATTATTTCTTTTTAAAATTTATCATTGTTATTGAAGATATTACAGTTGCCCCCTTTCCTCCCCCCTTTGACCCCCTCCCCAGGTCTTCCTTGGGCTGTGGGCTGTCTATGGGCCATGCGTGTATGCATGTCAGTTCATTGATCAACCTCCCCACCCCTACTGCTTCAGTGTCCTTGGTCTTTTTTGTCAGTTTATTTTGTAGAAATACCTCTTTTATGGGGATTTTATCTGATTTCTTTTTAGTTAAGCCTGGTTTAAGAGTTGATGTACTTCCCTCTGGCAAGCACCATCCTGCTGTTTTTGTTCCTAAGTTTCAGTTTTATATCCCAGCAGAAGATTTGACTGGGTGGTGGGCACACTGTGAAATATACAAATGTTGTAACATAGAAATCCACACATGAAACATATATGTTCCAGTTGACCAGTGTCACCCCCATCCATTTAATAAAAAAATAAATAAGTAAAGAGTTGCTGTCACTAACCGGGAGTAATACCAGCACAGGAAGGCATAACAAGTTGTAAGGATCCGACTGAGAGAGTGTCACTGTCCACCTTTTGGGCTCCTGCCCATGGCCCTCTCTCTGTGTTTGAGTAGCTCTCATCTCCCATCAGGTCTCTGGACAGTCTCTTCCTGATACTACTTCCGTATCCCTGATGGATTGTTCCACAGTGGAATCCACTGGTGGTGATAATTCTATGGTCAACTGTTACTTTCCAGAATCAGTGAGAACTTGTAATTTAGGACCACAGAGGCTGACTTCCCACAGGAGGGATTTCGCAGTTAAGAATGCACAAGGGAAAATGTGATATTGTCTGGGTTTTCTTGAATAGATTTGTAAACCTTATGGACAATCCCATTGATAATATTCAGCGTCAAGATGGTGAAGAAATGATGGAAAGTGAACAAGATCGTCAACACTTTGATAAAGAATTTATGAGAGCCTATATTGAAGATCTTAAAGAAAGAGGTAGGTTACTCACATTTAAAATATTTTAAATGAATATACAAAATTCCTTTAACTCATGCAATACTTATATATACATGATTTATTGATAAAAGTAAAATTGACAGAAAGTTAATTGGTTAGGGGCAGTTTACTTCCTAAATTACCTTTCCATTTACCAAAAACAAAAGATATCTTTCCTTAAAATATTTGATTTGCCTAGTGCACTTGAGTGTTTGATACACCATCGACTATTTTACAGAGAAACACATACTTAAAACATGAGGGTTGCATTGCTAGTTGTATATGAGTTTTTAACTAAATGACATTGACAACAGTATCCTACTTAATGGGATAATAAGATTCTATTTCAAAACCCATTTAAATTCAACATTAGAAAAAGTCATCTCTTATATAAATCAGGGTATACCCATATCAAAACCACAAAATGGAAAGCACAGAGGGCAGACGAGTAACTCACCATCCGGTCCGAGCTCACAGAAGAGTGTGGAGGTGCAGAAAGTCCGATTTCCAGAGTCTTCCGTCACAAGAATGTTGATCAGAAAAAAGGCTCTAGTCCTGTTCTGGTCAGGTAGTCACACACCATAAGGAAACAGAATGGCTGAGTATGTATTTTCCTTTTGTTACAGAATCTGTTCCCAGCTATACCACCAAAGTGTCTTTTAGCCTTCAGCTCTGATGCCATCCATCAGAAATCCTCAGAACCTCCCTGTCTGTGCAGCTGTGAATCTTCGTGCTGTGGGCCATGTCATCTGGGAGTGAGGGCTTGTGCTTAGCAGCAATCCTAAAATCCACAGTCATAACTTCGGGAAGATGACTTTCAAATTCCAAGTGTATGAATACTTCTCTGTGGACTGGGGAATTGATCACTGGTTTTATAGATTTATATTTAAAGGCTCATTTGCATACACTTGTTTCCAAATAATGCACATTGAATAGTTTAGAAATGCATTATTAAAAAAAAATTGTAACAGTCCAATTCCGAAGGTGGGTTGTTTTCAGGCATCAGGGATAGAGAGTCAGTGAAAGAGCATTTCTATTGGATGAATCCAGATCAGAGTTTATTTTATTTTTTGATTTTGAAGGAGTTTTAATGCATTATTTCTTTTAATGAGAATAATTGTTCTTGGGTTTATACAAATTGCTATTCCTGTATGTTTTAAATTGCGAATGTGGGTGTGGGGAAGCAGGGGACTTGTTGGAAGGTTTGTAAGGAGGAAATAGGTCAGAACCTCCAGGGGGAGTTGGCTGAAGGCCTCCCCCCGTGCCTTGACTTTTCTGAACAAGTCTGAGCCCCCGTGTTTACTGGACTCTTTATGCTTAGTCTTTAGATGTCCGGACTTAAAGGACAAAGTGTCTTCTCAAGGATGTTACCCTGCTGATAGTATCTAATAGTTAATTTTAGTTCAAGCTTTTGTTACAATAAAAGCCTGAGGAGATAGGCAAATGGGGTGGTTTGGTTTCTCCAGCCAAGCAGTCTCTCTTTCACAGCAATCGTATGTCAGAATTAACTGGATGCCTGGAGCAGGAACTCATGCACAGGTGGGGTCTCTCGGCCTGGCCAGCAATCAGGGCTGATGGGGGCTGCAGAGGTTGGCAGGGAAGAGGGGAAGGGGCTGCAGGAGGTTGGCTGTGGGAGCACACTGACCCCCAGGGAGCAGCTCCTGTGGTGAGCATCTGCCTGCTGGTGGTCAGTGCGTGTTCTAGCGACCGGTAGTTTGGTCTTTCAGTGGCTTGGTCACTTGGGCTTTATATATAAGAAGAGTAGTGCATTTTCTGTAATTATTTCATGTTCTTTAATATCCCCACACAAATACATGATTGAATACAATGCTTGTAGAGTTATTATTTTGCCTCCCTGCCCCTGGCTGCCATCTCCACTCGTGTCTGTGCCTCTCACCCCCGGTTCCTTCCCACCTTCGGCCTCCAGTCCTGGGCTGCCCTGCCTGCTTTGGAAGCCCTGGCCCAGGGCAACGGTCAACCCAGGAGGGAGCCAGTCAGGTGGTTTCCGGAGGACGTGGTAGCGGATTGGAAGCGCGAGGTTAGCCGTGGAAAAGGCGCTTCAGTGAAGCTGTGCAGAGGAGGCCGCCTGGACGCGGGCCGTCCAGGGATGGGAAGGGCCGGTTCCCACTGCCGCTCCTCTGCCCGGTACGTGAGCAGGGACAGCACAGGATGCCAACACAGCCCGCCCGGGCCGCAAGGACCTCCCGCCTCCGGCAGGCCGCCCGCCTGGCCCTCTGTCCGCAGCTGTTCCCGTGACTCCAAACAGCGAATCCATCACCTGTTTCAAAGGTTCCGCTGTGCCCTCCTCTCCCTACTTCCTCTCCCTTCGGGGAAGGCTTTGGAGGGTCCACTCCCCAACCCGCCCCGGCAGGTCCTGGGCACCCTGAGCTCCGAGCCCCGCTGTCTGGTGAGGCCGGGGCAGCCCTCCGACTGCCGGCGCCGGGCATGGCCCAGGAATAACGGGCCTGGCATGGCAAGCAGCCCGTGCCCGTCGCCTCCCAGACCTGCAGGTCCCGGTCACCTTCTCCTGTTGGAGCCCCAGCCGCAGCGGGTGCCCCAGGCCTCCTTCCCCGTCCTTTCTCCCCGCGGCGCCCTGAGGACCGGCCCGTGGTGTTCACGCCCCTGCTGGCTGCAGGCCTCGTCCCTGTGCCTCTCCTACTGCGGGGCGGTGAGGCGCTGGCTGTGCCCTTTGCCCAGGGGCACCTGCTGCCCCTGGGCACCCATGGGTGCCCGTACCCCCCCTCGCACCCGAACGCGCAGGGGCCGAAGGTCTGGTGCACTGGGCCCTGGCCTTGGAGCTCATTGCCTGCTTCGCCGGGGCGTGTCCGCGGTGCCCTCACAGGTGCACTGCAGGGCCAGCACCTCCTGCACCACTGACCGGCCTCACCGCCCTGCCCCGCCCCGCCCCGTCCTGAGTCAGGGGTGAGGCCACATCCCCCAGCGCTCCCCCTGCCCCCATCGCTGCGTAGGAGCCGCATGGAGACAGAGAAACTATTTAAAAAAAACACAGACTACGTTTTCATTGATTTTAGAGAGAGACGAAGGAGGAGGGAGAAGGAGAGAAACATCAATGGAAAAGGGAAACATCCATCAGCTGCCTCTTGCATGAACCCCAACCGGGGACGAAATCTGAAACCTGGGCATGTGCCTTGACGAATCCAACCGACGACCTTTTTGCACACAGGACCGCGGTCCACCAACGGAGCCACGCCGGCCATAGCAGTCCTACGGACGCGAACCTCCTTCCTGATTTACCCGTCTGACTATTTCTCATCCGCGGGCCGTACAACCTGTGACTTGGTGTTCTTACTGTTAATTTCTCTGTATTACTCTGGCTTTTTAAACTTGGCACCATGCTTTTGAGGTTCATATAGTGGTTTTAACAACCACCACCACTACCACCACCACGACAATGATTAGGATCAGAGTGATGGAACAGCAGCAAATTTTGAAATTGCAGCGCCTGCCATTCTGGGTGCTGTGGCAATCCAAACCCGCCCTTGGGGAATAGACCTCAACGATGCTCTCTGCCCGGCAGCTGGTGTTTGCTCTGGGACTCTTAGCCTGTGGGGGCTCAGGGAACCCGTGGTTTATCACTCCCCCTCCTGTCTTCACCCCAGTGTGCCCTGTCGTTGCATCCACTGTGGTGCTGCTCCTTGTGAGAGAAGGTTTATTGATGGGAACCCCAGAGGTAGGTGTGCTATCTCTTCTTGTGGGAAGCGAAGGGGACATTGGTGATGGTTTGACTAGATCTAACTCACACTGAGCACAAAAGCCCTGGAGACACGCCTCACAATTGTCAGTGTCGTGTGGCCCCTTAAGAGAGATATCCTTGAGTGTAGGGATATCCTCCATCGACTTAAATCGTTCTCCATAGCATTTCTTCAGAATTCGGAACACCAGGTTGTTCAGGATCCTTGAGACGTTCTCTTCCGTGAACTCTGGGACCTCAAATGGAGGCTCTGAGCACTTCTGACATCTCTGGGCAAAGATCCTCATCTTAACTTGGCCCGTGGACTCCCTCTTGTTCCAGTGCATGTGGCAAAGGACTTGAACTTGGGCAGAGGCCCAATTGCGAGAGCACCAGGAGCACGTGAACCTGTGGAGGCAGAAAATGAGACCCTCAGCTTGGCTGGACCACGGGCTGAGCCGGAGGCAAGCAGGAGGGACCGATGTTACCGAGACTTGGTGGACTGGGTCCCGGATCAGTGGGGATGACATGACCGAGTCCGTTGTTTCTATTGACAAGCTTGCGACTCACAGGTGTCTATCATCGCTACAGGGGGTCGCTCACACACTCTCGGTGCCGAAGGGATCTCGGGCACCTTCTGGGTCCACAGGATCATTTTTGGTCAGGAGGGTGCAGCCTGGTCAAAGGCTACGTGCCCCGTGCCAGAGGCCCATCGCTCCCGAGCTCTGCCAGGCCAGTGAGGACAGCACAGGAAGTCTGTGACCCCAGGGAGGGCCGTCACCTGACCAGCGGGGACCCTGGCCTTGGACTTGCAGCCTCCAGAACTGTGAGCCACACGTGTCTGTGGTTTATAAGCCGCCCATTCTGTGTTTGTTGTTGTGGCGGCTGTTTTTTAATAGCAGGACTAAGATCCTAAGTCATAGAGCCCAGGTTAGGGCAGGATGGACCCGGACAGTCCAGTGTCCCATGGAAAAGCATCGCTTTGCTCTCAGTTGCCCAGGCGCCCCCCCCCCCCGAATGTCATTATTACCGGAGTGCGGCATGTCCGCTCTCTTCATTGCCCCAAGCCATTGCTCCAAGTGATTCCTCCTGCCCTGCCTCAGAGAGGGCACCAGAGAGGGCCCCTTCCTCTCAGCAGGGAGGAGGGCAATGTTCTGACCTAAAGTAGCTGCACAAACACACGTCAGCACAGATGGAGAGAGAAGAAGGCAGGGAAGCACGTGGCAGCACCAGGATACGAATTGCAGGTGAGCAGAGGGCTGGGCACCAAATTGTCCACGGACTCCCCCGCATGGCCCAGCCTGGCTGGGAAGTTAAGTTGGGGCCAGGTGACCAGTTGGCTTATGGGATGTGGGCTGAAGCAATGGGCGCTGCCTCCAGATCTGGCACGAAAGCCCTCGACTTCCCCGCTCTTTCCTTCTGTGCCATGGGGATCTTGGAGCCATGTGTTAGGTTATTTGTCCCAACATCCAAGTCCAGCCTTGCTGGGAGCACCTCGTCTGGACGGTGAACCAGAGGGTTCTGGGAGGGAGTCAATCAAGGTTTTCCCTTTGTATCTTTTTAAAATTTTTATTTATGTTATTAATCCTCTCCCGAGGATATTTTCTCAGAGATTTTTAGAAAGAATGGGAGGGGAAAGGGAGCGAGAGAGAAACATCGATATGAGAGCTAGACACATCTATTGGTTGTCTCCCTCATGTGCCCAACCAGTGCTGGGGTGGAGCCTGCAAGAGAGGCATGTGCCCTTGACTGGAATCAAGCCTGGGACCCTTCAGTCCACAGGTTAATGCTCTATCCACTGAGCCAAAGGAACCAGGGCTTCCTTCTGTGTCTTGATTGGAGCCTCAGTTCACCAGGTGAAGGTGAGGATGAAAGGCAGGGAAGATACCCGGGAGCCCTGACCTCTGTGAGCGAGATGACCCGCTGGAGCAAAGGGCCTGTGCCCTGCTCTTTGGAGCTACACTCCCTGCCCCATTCTGGGTCACGGCTGCGTGTTGGTGTGCCAGCTCAGAGTTAAAAAAAAAAAAAAAAAAAAGGAGCTGAGACTTTGCTCAGCTGCTCCTGGTGCCAGTTCCCGACCGGAGAAAACTACAGGTTATTGGGAGGAGAGCTGTGTCCCCTTCCCAGACCTCCCAGGAAGGGGCCGTGGGCAGGCAGCACGTCCCTTCCCCAGGCCCCGGAACCATCCTCCGTGCAGGTGGGCCCATCCTGGGTGCTGATGTCCCACTGGAAACCAGAGGCTTAGCCTTCGGATGCCTCTAAGGGTCCTGTTTTTACAGAGAGCCCAGCAGCTCAGAGTAGAGAGATTAAGATGGCTGCACGTGGCTCTGCCCCTCAGTGCCCAGGGCCCCTCTTTTGTGGACTCTGTGGTGGGTCCCTGGAGTCTCCCCTCCCCTGCCTTTGCATTTGCAGCAAGCCTTGCTATTCAGCTCTCCTGGGCCTCACTGCTCTTGACTCACCTTCAAAGCCTGATTTCTCCATATCTGGGCATCACCCCACGCCAGTGCCCGCTGCCCTGCTACTGTTTGGGGCTCACGGTAGTAAGAGAAAGATCGTCAATGAAGCTGCAATGTTGTGAGTGAGGGGCTCCTTCCTTTCTATAATCTTCAGTTTACGAGTACAAACAGGAACGGAATCAGAAAGGTAACCAGTATACAGAGTATGGAACGAGGAAGACTCTTCTGGAACGCATCCCACCCCATTCCCGACTCACCTGGCAAAGACCTGCTGCTGGTATTGGGTCCACCCTGGTTGCAGGTCGTTGGGCACTAGGCTGTTGTCTAGTGTCAGGGTCCATTGGTGCCATGGTCTCACCTCATGAATTAATTCCTGAAACACTTTCTTCCACACCTGCACATCCTGCCCCTTGGCCGCTGGCATGGTGAGCGGGGCACCGGCCTCTCTGGTGCTCTGATGGGCCTCTAGCCGAATGTGCGGTTCCACTGCAGAGAGCACGGCTCACACCAGCTCCCTTTTTGGCCTGGCACGGGGCCTGCGGACCTGCTCTTTGCCCCAAGGACAAAGTTCAGGTGAGTCAGCCCCACAGGGATTTCGAAAGACATGGAATGCCTGGTGTCATTCACCAAAACCCAGCAGGAGCCCTCAGGGCCCCACGTCGGGAGGGTGGACCTCAGTCTGGCTCTGCTGCTGCCTCCCCTCAGCCTTTCTCTCTGGCAGCCCCTCCCACCCGCTCTCAGTGCAGAGCTTACAGAGGGACTGGTCGGGGAGAGAACCCCGGGCTGCCAGGCAGGGCCTCCTGGGTGTGGGCTCCGACCAGCTGGGGGACCAGGGACAGGCCACTTCAGGCTTTGGCCGGAGGAAAGGGCACCTTTTCCGGGGAAGGTGCAGGCGTGCCTGGGCAGAGAGGGGCCCACGAGCCAAGGTTGTTTGGAGCGTGACCAGAACTACTTCCAGGACCTTGTTTGAAACCCTCTGGGGTCTCGCAGAGGCCCTGACCCTAGAAACAGGTGCTCACACACCTGCATGCAAGCCGGCCTCCCAGCCTCCCGCCTGGCACAGCTGGCACTCCCTTCCTCAGGCCAGTGGCTGTGCCCCTCCCTCTTCTCTGTCCGTCCCACAGGCCATCTACTTGGAGCAGGGCCAGGGCTCCATGGGCACTCACTGTCACTCTCCGTGCACCGGGGTGGGGTGGGGAGGCGGTTCTGAAAGCATAGTGGCTGGCACTCGGCCTGGCTGACACCAAGCATGGCAGCTCCTGCCTCTTGTCTCCGCTGAGACTGAGCTGCAGGCGTTTTGAAATGTTTACGATTGTATGAGTGCTGTTGATTTATTAGCATTAGTTCAGAATACCAATGATGTGAATTTTATTTTTTACTGAAAACCACATTTGCCTGGCTGGTGTGGCTCAGTGGTTGAGTGTTGAACTATGAACCAGGAGCTCACGGTTTGATTCCCAGTCAGGACAAATGCTTGGGTTGCTGGCTTAGTCCCCATTGTGGGGCGTGCAGGAGACAGCCCGTTGATGATTCTCTCTCATTATTGATCTCTATTTCTCTCTCCCCCTTCCTCTCCGAAATAAATTAAAAAAACAATCTTTTAAACACCATTAGGGGTTGTTGTGGAGTTGAACCCTGGAGTCAAAATAAGACCACCGGAGGCTGCCAATTGATTAAAAAAGCAGGCAAGGATTTATTGAGCTGGCCAGGACGTTCGTGAGAGCACCACATGCAAGTGGAACACCGTTCCAGGTGTAGGCAGTCCTTTTAAAGGTCTAAACCACAGAATTGTCCTTTGTTCTAAATTCTAAATGCTGGGAACAGCCCACAGGGACGTTCCCAGCCACATCATGCCGGACGTTGGAACGTGACCAATCTTGCGAAAGCAGATAGTACAGAAGCACAAGTGATATAGTTCATCTGCAGTTTAAACTCCTGGAGCTACTGTCAGTGGGAATCACTCTCCTGTGGTCCTGGGCCACAGGCACAGGAAAACTGCCTCAGCTTTCAGGCCTCAATCTTCATGTCTAAGCAAGTGAGTGAGTGCAGAAGCCAGAACAGCAGGGTTAAAATCCGAACAGCAGTGTTTACCTTCAGTGTGCCTGCTACCACACTTCTGGGTCAGGAGGAATGAAAGGGCTGGGAGGAGTCCTGGGACAGGTGTGTCCAGGGTGGCAGGAAGGCTCAGCCCGGTTCTTTCATCCAGTGGTGACAGAGCAGCCCCTGGTTGCCTCTGCGGTGAAGGGTCTGTGCACTCATTCCTCACAGGGCACTCACTCCGCCGAGGGCACTGCCCTTCACCAGCCTGGGACAGGGCACAGGAAATGGAGGTCTGACCAGAGCCAGCGTGATTGTGGCAGGTGGGACAACAGCTTCGACTGTGTGTGGCACCACCAGGGTAGACAGTGCAAGGTCCACAGAATAAAGAAAACACCCTGTGGCCGCCCTGTTCCGCTCTGACCTCACCTTCCCACAGCAGGAGCCAGGAGACTGCCCTTCTCTCCAGGAGGGTGTGGGCGCCCCTGGAGGCATCCAGGGGAAAGAGGCCGGGCCTCGGAAGCTCCTGGGTCTGTGAGAATGGGCACCACACACGTCAGCAGCAGCAGTATCTCCTTGATTGGGATAATGCTCCAGAGAAGGTCCATTTCTCATCTGTTTTTATACATCGCAGTCAAAGGATGGCCCCTAGGTGGGCTACATGAAATCCACTGGAGACAGATGAAAAAGGCAGGAGAAAGCAAAGCGGGGAAAACTCTGGGATTGGATAAAGAGTAAACTCATAGAAACATACTTAGGTGGCTGCAGGACAGTTAACAGTCAACAACATGGAACCAACAACAATGAAGGGATTTATGGCATCTGTCCTGGCACCAAGGCCCACTAGGTTGTGCCCCAGGGATTCAGAAAAAGGGAGTTACAAGTGACCCAGACATTTCAAGGGTGTGTCATCCTAGATGCAAGACAGACAGGCTCAGTTAAGGTGAAGATTGACCTTGTCAGTGAAGATACCTGCCTAGAATGTAACTGCCCACCATCACTGCTTTTAGTTAGGGTTTAATTTCAGACCCTCCTCTGTGGTGACTTTAGGGCTGAGTTTTTAAGATGGCCACGCAGGCTCCCCTGAGCGGTCCGGTCAGCATGTGGCCTCTTCCGTCCACATTTCCAAGGGCAGTTGTGTCACCACTAGCCAAGCCCGTCGCACAGGTGGTAGCCTGGGTCTCAGTGAGTTCATCTGTGAAATGGGGATACAGAGACTCTCTTTGTGCCGCTGTGAGGATTGCGTATGAAATGGCTGGAAAGGGCACCTGGCACTTAGTAGCCACTCACTGAATGGGAGCTGCTGTGGCTGTGCCCCGCCCCCTCGGTACGCCCTGCTCCCACGCACCCACCCCGGGAAGTCCTCCCGTTTCCCATTTTTCCCACCCCTCGGCCCGGCCTCAGGCCTGAGGTGGTGAAAAAGGACTGAGAAGATCCACTGTCAGCGGTTGTGGGACTCTTGGCAAATTCCGCTGGCTCTGTGGGCTGCGGTTTCTTGGCTTTACCGAGGTGGTGCATTGATGGCATTTGGGCCCCTGTGCTAACCAGTCTGGGGTCCTGTGACCCTCATGCCTCGGCACTCCCAGTCCAGCTTCCTCTGGGGAGGGGTCCTACCTTTCAGAACCGAAGCTCCATCCTCCCTCGGACAAGAGGGTCTTCAGGTTGGGGGTCCTGTGGGGCAGGAGGAGGCAGGAGGCAGGTGCCAGAAGTGCTGAGACACCGGGTGGCCCCAGGTTTGGCTTCCAAGGTCCTTCCAGCCCCGAGATCGGTTTCTAAGACTCAGGCGGGCTGCCAGGAAATTGGAATTGGAGCTGCAGCAAGGTCCATGTCCCGGAGAGACGCCCTCAGTGGAGTGACAGCGGCCTCCCTTCTCAGAGCTCAGTGGCGCCCTTTTCTCCAGCTACCTCCGTCAGCCGAGCTCATGCTCACGGGCACCAGAATGGGTGCTGCCTTCGGAGTCAGAGGGAATCTTGGCTCCACCCACTGGCACTGGCTACCCCAGAAGAAGCCAATCTGTGGATCCCCACACCTCCCTCTCTTTGTGGAGGTTCTCTGGACCCTGCCCCTGCCATGGACTTTAGGTGCACAGGACCAGTCAGCAAAAAGGCACCGCATGCTCAGGGAGCCTTGTCCATCTTCTCAAGAGTCCCAGCCAACTGCAGGTGCTGCTCAGAGACCTGGCTCTCCCTTTAGCAGGGAATGTAGCTTCAGGGAGAACATGCAAGCCTTTTCTATCTCCTGAGAGGGAGCACCCTGGATACTCCACTGTTCCCAGTGTGATTACAGAGGCCCTTATAAGGGGGCGTCAGTAGGGTCAGAAGCGAACAGGTAGGTGAGGATGTGCTGCTGGCTGTGGACGACAGAGGCCAAAGGAGAGGCAGGTCTTGGGGGAGGCTGCAGTCTCATTGTGGGCTTGTTCTCCCCGCGGTTGTGGATGCCATGCATCATGTCCTGCAGGTTCTGGTGGAACATGTGGTTGATATGCCCTTGACTATCTCGAGGGCTCTAAGGACGGTGGCTGGCAGGCCGGAGACCCGGGAAGCCCGATGCAGACGGTGTGCAGGGACAGGGGGCCGCCTTTGTCTCTGGGGAGCAGTGCTCCGCCGCCGCCACTGCGGGGCATGCAACCAGGCCAGTCCCTTGGCAAGATCCGCGGGGCAGGCTGTGTCCCATTCCCTTTTCCTCACACTCCCTCTACTCACTTTTAAAAATATACATTTGATAGCAGTCTAGGGTGATAGGCTAAGGCTGGGACTGGGGCTAGGGCTGGGGTTGATGTTAGGGTTTCAGGGTGAGGGGTCAGGGTCAGGGTCGCGGTCAGGGCTGCGGTCAGAAGTGGAAAAGGTAAATTATAACTGGAAAGATAATTTGCTTTGCAAAATATGACTGCTTTGCTGAAGATGAATTTGAAGGGTGAAAGGTGAATTTGTGTTGCAAAATGTGAATTACTCTTTATTTGAGAATCATCCAAATGAATCGCTCTTTCCAGGATCCTAGTCAATTCCAATACTGTGCCATATTTCTTCAAGTTATTTCTGTGACATTAAAGTTATTATTACTGAGCACTTTTTTAAAAATCTTAATAAATTCATAGTAAACAAGGTTTTCTCTGATAAAAATATTCTAGTTAATAGTTTAGTTGCAGCACAGTCATTTTGAACCGTGTTCGTGTAACGTAAGGGCTTCTGCTTGATACCTATGCTTGTCTCTTTCAGAAGGAAAGATAAAATAATTCTGCAGAAATGTGCTAAGAGTAAGGACCCTTTATTTTGTGATTTATCAGAATGTAATAATAAAGCAGAGTTATACCCTGGTTTTATAGGGTAAACGCTTTCATTTTCTTTCAAGTAAGTTACTGTTTATACTGTTCACGTCTGTCTATGGAACTATATACTTATCACACTGGAACTGCAAAGGAAGCTGTCAGGCCAAAAACTATCCTCTTCTGCCCTCCTGTGGCCATTCAAGGAATAGCACACTGTGTCTCTGTCCCTGGTGCTCAAATCCCAGCTAAAGCCCTGTGAACCCGACCAAAAAGTTCTACCCAGGAAAACATGGTCACAAGATCAGCGAGGCTGACCAGGGCGGCAATCATTCCATTCCTAGAAGGACCAAAGTCACAGTTGTGTGTTCCTCAACTCTTCCCGCTCCAGCCCTGCAAA